AAGCGAAAATTGCAGCACGCAAATTCGCTCGTTCTCTTCAAAAACTTGGATTCAAAGTCAGGTTTAACAACTACAGGGTGGTGAATGTATTAGGTACTTGTTGTATGCCATTTGCAATCAAGATAACATCATTTTCGGTGTATCACAAAGAGAATGCAGAGTAAGTAGCAAAAGTATCATGAATTAATAATTATTTTATGACTAAGAGATAATTGTCTTGTTTAAAATATTATTTAATTTATTAATATACATCACTAATATTTTTTAACATAAATACAGAAACTAACGAGCGTTTAACTTATTATTAATGATGATTGTATACAAATTTTATGTGAATGTACAATAACTAATTATATATATATATTTTTTTGTATGATATATAGTTATGAACCAGAATTACATCCTGGTGTTACATATAAACTAAAAGAACCAAAAGCCACTCTGAAGATATTTTCTACAGGAAGTGTCACTGTAACAGGTCTGTATTAATTACAAATTTTATTATACCTTTAATGTATATCCTATCTTATTAAAACTTCTCTTAATAATAAATATTATTAAGAGTTTAACTCTTAATAATATTTATATTATATTGTAGTATAAAATAATATAAAGAATATAGAGTAATGAAGATTCTCTATAAAAATTATAGAGAAAATTTTTGTTGCAACATGTGTATTTCAAAATAAATCATTTCCATATTTGAATTTTTGCTAATGTAGAGCACTACACAAGAATGAAAGTTTTAATTAAATTAAAAGAAATATCTTACACATATATTATGAAAAACAAGCATTTCATTTATACATATCTAAATTGTAAATAAACAAAATATATTTGTACATTGCATTGTTTTAAGAATGATATATTAACAAAAAAATCCACTATGTAGTAATTAATTAATTATATGTTATGCATTATAGCACCTAATGTTGCTTCAGTTCAAGCAGCAATTGAACATATTTATCCACTAGTCTACGAGTTTCGCAAAGAACGATCGCCAGAGGACGAACTTGCGTTGACAACGAAAAAACGCAAGTTAAACACAAATAAAAGAAAATTGGACGAGTTCCTAGAAGATGAACCGGATTACTCATACGAAAGTATGGTCTCCGATGCAGAAGACGCGCTCGAGGAAGAAGATAGTGATGGCAGTTGGGACTGATCTGTTTTATTTTATTAACGTACTGTTAACTGTTATCTATATCTCGTTCTTTTGATAATAAATGCATATACACTACTCTATGTACAAAAGTGTTATTGCTAAAAGTGAAGTGAACCATAAATTCATTTTAATAGTGCAAAAACTAAAAAGTGTGTGTGTCAGGGACAAAATAGATATGCGTATATGCACTTGTGTGTATACATTAAAACGTAATTATCAAGTACACATCAAACTAATCATCATTTGAAAAACAATGCCCTGAATATTTACTTTTGTTAGCAGTATAAAGTTATAAATACAGATATAAATATATATGTAGTACACATATACACACATATATATAAAATATATATGTAAAAGGAATTACACAAATGTAAATATGAATATGTATTTATATTTGTATTTATACTTATATAAGTCATATATAGGTAGAAATGTATCTTAATTATCTATACATATATGTATAGAGATATATCTAGAGAGAACACATTCATTATAAAAATGATTAAATTTTTGAAGTTTATTTATATCATTAGACAAAACTCATATATGTTTCTTTGGACAAATGTGATTGGTGCAGGTTTTAAGATAAAAAATGTACATATGTATGTGAGCATTGTGGCCTGTACACATTTGTGTTTTCATTTTTATTTTATTATTTCTCACGTACAAATATAGTTTTGTTTAATTAATATATTGTGCCAAAGATATTCAAAATTTGAAACAAAGTGATTAAGATGAGATCTACGTGGTTGACGACTTTATAACTATTAACTTTCCTAGTGCTTGTAATCAAATGATAAGTATCCATTTTTATTTTCGTGATTCACATTTTATGAGATGTACTATTGATCAAAAAATCATTTTATGTTATAATTCGAGTACTACAATTCTACTCCATAAAATATTGTACATGCGTAGAAAGTACATTATTTCCTTGTTATAATATCGATTTTTACTGGTTAAAAGTTGTGTGATGTAAAAAACTATGAATTATATATCTATTTCTTGAATTAAATGAATCTGACGATGAAAATAAAATAGTTAACTTCACAAAATATCACTATTTTATTCATTTTTCATTATTGTTTGACTGTAGATTAGCAAGATCTATAAGACAGTTCCTAGAAGATAAACAAGTTTATATTTTATTTTAAAACAACGATCTTATAACCAGGAAATATTAATATAATTCTGTGCTGCCAACAGCTCGTTTTCGCTCAAATCTATTATTCAAAAGAAGCTTGTATATTCCATAGCTTATATATATAAAATGTATTCCTACATTTATATAATACTTAATATATTTTAAGTATATATAAATATTTTTTATGTTTATATTAGCAAAATTTGTTCAGTGGAGAAACTTCTAGAAACACATCTATACCCAGTGAGAAATGATTGGTCGAATCGTCATCGATTCGACGAATTTGACATCGATTCGACAACGAATCGACGTCGATTCAACCATTATTTCTCACTGGGTACAATAACTGTATATAGATATATATATTATAAATATATACAGGGTGTAATTGAAAAAACATTTTGAAAATAAAATTGAGAATTTGATGCATGTTTTTTCAATTGTATATATATATTATAAGCATTATATATTTATATATCATCTATATCTATATACATAATATCTATATGTAGTATTATATAGATACTGGTAGAAAGATTATTTATCAAATATGATAAGCATACATCAAATGTGCATGTAAATACGCGTCTACATTTATTAAAATATTTTATAAATTGTAGTAAATTTCCTCTCTTTCCTATACAAAATTATATTAATAGCCTAAAAATAAAAATACGATGATAAAAAGATTGAAAATTTAACAAATATGCATTTGTTTTTAGATATTTGAGAAAAAAATATTTCCTACAAGTGTACCAATTAAATATTTTTATTTTATATTTATTATATCTATTATAATAAATTTTCATGTATTTTTATATTTTTAGAATACATATCATTATAAACAGTATCTATACGTTTTATATGAAATAGGCAATAAAATTATTGTATTATTTGAGCGAATACGAGCTGTGTTTTGTGGATGTAAACGCTAATATTAAATTTTGTGTTCTAAAATGTCTATTATATGAAAAATATCGAGAAAATGAAAATGAGAAAAATGAATTTTCTGACTTGCAGTATTCATAAATTCAAATACATGTATTAGGATGTTTATTTTATTTATGTAAATTTAATCCTAAGAAAATGAAAAAGTCGTGACATTGACTTTTAGACGTATATAAGAAACAAGCCTTTGTAGAAATTATGCAGAAGTTTATGTCAGCAGAATATATATATATATATATATATATATATATATATATATATATATATATATATATATATTTCTAAAACTGAATTTAAACGTACGAATATATTGTGTTCAATGCGAGAGTTTATTTTCAATTTATACTGACTGGAATTGCATATTCTAGAATTCTAGAGTCTACAACAAAGACATCAATGCAATAGGATACATTGTTTATATATATATATATATATATATATATATATATATATATATATATATATTAGTCATATACATATGCATTAATATCTTACAAGTATTTATTTATCACTTACAATATCCTTATGACGAGATAAATGCATTTGAATCACATGTCAATTTTGTAATTGATTTTCTGCAAACCTAAAGTATGAAAACGCTCAGCTTGTGCAGAAAACAAAATGTTTAATTTTGTTAATTTATAAAATATCAAGATCACAAAAAAAAAATATTTTTACACATAACTTTGCAAACCTGATTATATCATATTTCTAGAATTCAGTTTTTATAAGTATGTATATTGAATACATTGTGCAAAATATTATATAAATTGAGGGTATAATATAAAGTGTATTATCTTTCTCACACACTTCGCAATATTATACATACGTATACTTGTACAAAATTTAATCTTCCGTTTGCAATTAGCTGAAGAAAAGCAATATACTGATTCATAAAAATATATAGAAAAAAATTATCAAAGATTTATGTAATATGTATTATTAATATGAAAAGTTTAATATAACTCGTGAAACTGTATCCTTTTTATTATACATTATGGCCGATATTTTGCAACTTATTAGATGATATAATTAATTGTTCGTGCCATAACGTTTATATTTGTTAAAATTAGTTAAAATTAACTTCATCATAATTTTCGTAATGTATTATTGTTTTTACACTAAACAAATTTTTTTACAATTTTAGCTAAAGTCACTGCCCATAGTGTATTCAATTCAAAAATGTAAGACTTGATATCCACTAATGAGTATGTGACACGAACTAGCACATTTTGTTTACATTATTAGACACAAAATACTGTTTTTGTGTTATTAATCATAAGAATTAAAGTTTAAGCGAATTGAAACGTTGGGCGATAAGACGAATTGTCGAAGTGTAATGGTAAAATAAATTTTATCATATATTTACTTTCCAAGATTATCTTATAAACTTCATTAGATTTAACTTTTATATCAATAATAAAATATAGCATATTGGCGTATGATTTTTACACATTTATCAATTTATATTCAAAACAATAAGAAATACGTTGAATATTTAATTCTATTTAATTAAAGATTTCATAAGAGTTATAAATATATATATAGAAACTCTGTGATTTTGTTCCTTTAAACATTTTTTAATTTTAATATTTATAATAAAATATAAACAATTTTTTGCGCGCGACCCAATAGGATACATATCTGATGATCTTATTTATTTTTAATAATTATTCAAATATATTATTTTTAATTATATATTATTGAAACTTGAATAAAATAATACACATTATTTCTCTCTTTTAGAATATAATATTGATATAATTGAGCATTATATTATTATAACAAAACATTTGTAATAGCAATTTGACAGTAGGTTTAATCAATTGCAGCAAATTACTTTTTTATAAATTTTTATTATAGGTAAAAACCTTATCATAATATTTTCTCTTTTTTGTGATTCGAAGAAGTTTACGATCGCCTTCTTGCAAATTATGATTGATTGATGATTCGATCTTCTTTGAAGCTCATATTCATATTATTCAAATATTTTGGATCAAGCTATCTTAACAATATATGTCCTTTAATTATCTTATATTCTATCTTTACATTTACTTACTTTGCACACAATAGCTAATTTTAAATTAAATTTATGTGTATATATAAAAAATATGTTTTTTCTCTTTTTATACTATATCATTCATGTGTGAAATTCAGCAAGAAATTCATTTATTGCAGGACAATGTAAAGCCGTAAGAGAATCCTAGAAAAAAATGAATAAAATATTCATCGTTAGAATAAATACATGTATGAGAAGTGTTTTATTAAAAAAACTATTTTAAAAATTGATATAAACAGATTACATAACAATATGTGTAACAAAAACGTTGCTTTTGTCAAGTGCATCACAAATTTTCTTATTTTTTCTTATTTTCGTTACACATATGCAAAATCTAATGTATCAAAAATATAGAAAAACTTAGTGATATTTAGATTTATTTTCGATACACATGCATGAGTTAAAATTTAATAGTCAAATATTTAATACATACCTCTTTTGTACTTATATTTAGGCCTATTTTCTCCTTACAGTATATCTATAAGGTAAAACAGCATAATGATGAACAATATTTAATAAGATATCTAAATCACAATCTCCTAAATCGTTAATCACTTTGTCTGAGAGATTTTTTAGAAGAATACCATTCTTTCGAGCGCTGAAAGCCTGTTAAAAAAAAAGAAAATCTTTGAAAATACTATTTATGAGATTTTTAGAAACATTTAGTATTTTTATATATATATACCTCGTCGTGCCATAATGCTGTATAAATATCATTTATATAGATAAATAAAATGCGAATCTTTTCCTGATATATGTTTAAGGGCATAATTTGTTGGAAGTGCTTTTTTACTTGGTGAAACCTATAATATAATTCAAGTATCAATAATTTAAAGAACGAAATTAACTTATATTAAATTATGTTTATTTTATATTTAATTATATATTAAAAATATGAAAAATTAATACCTCGATAATAATCTGCAAACTCTTGATAAGAAAGCGCAACTTTTTGTGATAAATGCTCCATAGATAACTGCTGGTGGTGGCAATGTCCATGATTTTATGTGACTACGGCTTTCCAACGTACAGATCTTTAAAGAAATGAAAGAAATAAAAATAATTGATAAAATATTTATCAATCAAAAATTATAATAAAATAACTTGTATTTTAAACTTTTACATACCTCTTCATAAAATGCTAAAGCTTCTGATAAAAATATAACATCAAAATTGTGTATATTTAATCCATAAACAATAAGATGTTCCAACGTTTTTGTAAGCACAGATACAATTTCTGTCAAATCTTCTGGTGGACTTTGTAGTAAAAAAAATGATGCATTCTCATGATATTTTTCTTGAAATTCTTGTTTAATAAACTGTAATGAAGTGTTATATTAAGATTCTGTTTAAGTACAATAATTATTAATGGAAATGTTATACAGATTGATTAGAGGTATTATGAATCCTTACCAAGTTTGTTATTAGTTTTTGCAAACATTTAATTATTTCACATTTTATAGGTAAACTTGATTCATAAAATATATTATATACATGTATCAGAATGTTCTCTTGTAAATCTAAAATTAATAAAGCTGTAATATTTTCAGCAAAAAATATTTAAATGGAACAACTTTATAAGTATTAATATTTATATTACCAGCTACTGATACAGAAGTCATCCATTGCAACAAATTAAATAGCTTTGGTAGATACTCTCCTGTGTTATAATATAAATATTCATCAAAGAATAATTTAATTACAAGTATTTCTTGCTGCATATATCGAGAAAATTCAATTGTCATTGAAAGGAATTGATCCATTTCTTCCTTGGAAAATTTTCCATTTTCCAATATAAATGCTAAAATATTAATGTAACTTTTTTATATAATCTATTTTATGTTTAATATTACATACATGTAGTTTTATGTGGCAATAAAGTAATTAAATAAAACTTTTTTAACGATCAAAGAAAATTTAAGATAGTATACCTCTTATGAGTGTATTATAAAGATTATATGAAAATCTACTTTGATACTGAAAATCTGCATATGTAAGAAGATGATAACCAGCCATATTTGTTAAGAGTGAGACAGCATTACATGGCAATTCAACATTTTGATGGTATTTCCCAATTCATCTATACTGTAATACATAACATATATATTAATATATTACATTTATACATAATATAAATGATTAATATGTTATTTCATTCATATATTGTGCTCACCTGTTTACATCAAAAATCGATTTTGCATCTTTATCTTTAAAAATACTTGAACCAATTTGAAAATAACCAACAGACGGCAACAGCGGCTTTTTCCTTTTTATTTTCTTTACATACCATAATTTTTATTTATATAATTAATTTATAAATCAGAGACACACATACACTATTACATTTTTGTTAAGTATTTTCTATACCTGCATCATATTCCAATTAAAATAAGTTTGAGTGCTTTGGCGAGATTGTTGGATCTCCATACGATCTCTGGCATCTTCTAATGCTAATCGCATAAATTCAGGTATAGGTTTCCATACACTTTCTATGTTCACCGATTGTATCTTTTCCGGTACTAATTCTGGCTTATATGATTTAAACAGGCTAAGAATGTATTTTAAAATATATCATATTATTCCATATTTTATTAAATATAAGTATTCTGTCAATTATACTTACGAAAGTAATGCAATAATATGTTTTGGAGGCTTAGCATATCTTTTTTGAGCGACTAATAACTTTAAAACATCTTTGCGACAAACATCTTCTGGTTTTGTTAATACATATACGATACGTGTTATATGACGTTCCTAAAATTTACATTTATATTATCACAAATAAGGTTATTCTAATAACATCATAATAAGAACATTAATTACATTTTAATATTGCAATCTATTCTTAAAAACTTGTTAAATATAAAATATGTATTTATATAATGTAAAAAAGGGATACATTACCAACTTTTCTTTCTTGAGCATTGTGTAAAAGAAGATATCGTAATATATATTAATTACTTTTCTATCTATTAATTCACAATCCCATAAACCTAAACATTAACATTTTTTAAAATATATTTTTATACATACATATATAATCAGAATAAATAACATATAAAATAAAATATTTTTCTAACATAAATAATTTTAGAGTAAGAATTCATAATTGTAACACTTTATGTAACAATTACACA